CAAAAACCCCCCCCCCCCCCCCCCCCCACTTTTTTCTCGAAAAGCTATTCGGACGATTAAAGACTAGTAAACAAAATAGTTGAAAATGAATATATGCTGTAAAATACTGTGTTCTTTAAGAGAATTAGATGAACTAATTATAATTAAAATTCTAATTTTTATATTCTCATCTATCAAAGTCAAAATGCTCACAGTTCTTCAATAATACTAATTATCTTTGTTTTATTTCGAATTAATTTGTTTCTTTTTTTCTCGATTCGACTTATTCATGTAGTAGAATTCCGTTCAATACAGAAGTGTTTTATGTTCAAATGCTCACAAAGGGCTCTATGATATAGTTTATGTAAAAATAAAACTATAATGAATAAACTTATAGTATATAAACACAACTTCACGTCTAAATATTTTCGTACTCTCATACAATCAGCACCAAATGTAATGTCATAGTGGCGTCACTTTCTGAAACATAATTTAAATGACTGCCATTCCGATATATGTGCATAGGTAGTAGAGATGGCATCAATGCGCGGTTATTTTTGAATCTGAACTGATCTCATCTGTGATAAGTAATTAAAATAAAAAAATTATTCACAACGTATAAATCATATTTATCGATACCGGATGTGTTCTGTATAGTTAAAGGTATGGAGAGGAATCCAGTCGAAAATTTTTAGCTTGTAAGAAGCACTGCGTTGATGATGTTGGTTTTTGCATATAAATACTTAGAGCATACTAAAAGTAATGACGCTGGCACTATTATATTGTATAGAATGTTCAAGAAGAATTTCTCCTTTTATATACTAATAGCACAAGAGATGTTCTGTATTTCTTCAGTATTTCGTTATTCTTCAGTTGCTATAACAAAAATAAAATTTCGACAGAAGTTATTCACTTCAGTTTTAAATCGACAAAAGAAATTTTTGCTTTTATGTTAAAGTGTGTGCAATATACTTCTTGAAGAGCTATGTTTTGTTTTCGGCGGCTACACTTTACCTTTGCAAAAAGTTGAGAAGTAATCCAAAGAATTTTGTAACGATCGAGAAAAAGTAAAAGACAAAATATGATCTAGTAGATCTGTAACTGAGAAAACATCTGAAAATATTGAAAAAGTTTACTGTCTTAATAATGACTATCCTTATTTTCAGCTATCAGTTTATATGCGAAGAAATTTTCTTCGAACTGTCTTTTAGGTATTGTAGTGACGAAGTCACTACTTCTGGCACAGAGAAAGGATTCGTTTGTATTTTTGACAACTGATATCGGACCTGGCCAATCGGTAAGTGGTACCGGTTTCATTTCGGTTTTGGAACACCCTAAATATATTATGAATGTGCTGGCTTGAAGACGAGACCAAGCATAGAGCAAACAACCTGTCTATTTTCGAAAGTCTGCCTAATGAGTTAGCGATAGACAATTTACAGTTTTGACCTATTCAAGATTTATCCAAAATATTTGTCACGCTAAATTCAAGACTGACATCAGTAATTATCAATTCATTGCGAATGTCTCATTTTCGAGCACACAAATTCTGAGAATATTAATAATTCAGCCTTTGTTAATTGTGTCACAATATGATTTGTTCGACACTGTAATTTCATCAATTTATTTCATTATGTCAAATATTCGTGTATTTCAATTTCAATAACTTAACTGAAAATAATGTATTCAAACCATGTATCAGTCTTATTTGAGAAATGTATATATATGTATGTTGATCATGCGAACTGTGTTGCGGCTATCGAACAATGATTCAGACTTTTTCAGAAATAAATACTCACGATTCCATTCATGTTATCTGATAAACTTGTTACGATTTCACTCAATCATCAGTGTATCGTTCACTATTTTAGAAAGTTTGTATTCTATCATAATATTCGTTGTATGTTCATCTGACATTCTTCATTTACTTTCGTTAGATTCAATTCTTATTCGTTTATGTCAATTGAGTTCCTGATAGAGCTTGAGTTAATGTTACCATCTATTAAAACTAATACCATAATTACACTAGAATTTCTGTACGCTCGTATTTGATAATTTTTATTGGAAAAAACCGACTCAGTGTTTATATTTGTAACAAATATTTCACGTTTAACCATTAAAAATCCTTAGTGTATAAATAATGAAATTGTTATTGAACAAATCATATGTAGTCTCCATCAACATGTATCTTTTATTTGCGGCAATTTTATGCAAGCTTTCGGCTTAATAAATTAGCATTCAACAGTATGAATGCAATCAAAATAGAATTAAAGTTATCTATTCATGTACTTTTTAAAAAGTGAGACTAAATTTAGGACTTGTCAATTGTTTATTTCATATTCCGCACTTCTTAATGAAATGATTTAAAATAAACATGTTTATTTATTAATATTTCAATTATCCCAGAAGATATGTTTTGTTTTTTGGAATGCGAATCTAGATATGAATTGAGGGTAGGTGTAGATATACTAAATAGAAGAACTACATTCATATCCAGCACCCACATTTCCACCTTCACATCTACACCCTTCACCCACATCCATACCGACATCTTCACTCACACCCTCTTTTCTATCTCGATGTGTTTTTCTGGGACGATTTCAAAAAAAACTAAGGAGACAACCTTGGTCATTTTTTTCGGATGAGAAGGGGGAAAAAATTGAAAGAGAGATATGAGACTGCTGCTTAACTGGATTGATTTTGTTGACTAAATGCTTCTATGCGCATCTCTGTGCTTCTTTTTTCTCTTCTGTCTTTCATCCCTTTTTACTTCTTCACTTCCTTTTTTTCGTATGTTTTTTTTTAATATTCTTTTTCTTTTTCTGCTGTTGAAAGCGTCATATTGTAGCCTGTTGTTATATCGATGATTTTATAATGACGTTGCTCTAGTTTCTTTTTTTCTGTGATTCTAAATTTCCTTCCATTTTCTTATATAAATACTTTCAAGCGTAACAGTAAACAACAAAGTCAAAAAAAAGTTAAATCAAATAATAACATCGATATTTATTTTATCAAAACTGTTATAATTGATATTTAAGGGGGTTGTAGCTGTGAGTGTGAGTGTGGTTAAATATTTTATCGACATCCACCCATACCCTCAAGTTGGAGGTCTACTTCGTCGCTATAAAATCGACTGACACGAAACGTCTAGTTGCGTGTATTCTTTTTTTCTTTTCCTTACAGCAAAAGACAAAAAAAGTTTTTTTTCGTTCTTTTCAATCATCGATTGAAACACGTGAAGAGAAAGAGGTAGAAAACAGCAAACAAATATTTTTGATATGCTCTTTTAACGATCAAGGAAGTCGTTACTTTCTTACAAAGAACATCAATGGGACATGTTTTGTCAAAAATTCAAAGTGTGGTAACATGGTTGCTACTTTCATTTACTAACCAGGGTGCACTTACATTTACTTCCAGGGAAAACGAAACAGATGCTGTGTCGACTGCAGCTCAATGCTGTTCAAATGTCGATGCAAGAGCCGACCTTCTTGCGTCGGTCCCACCTATATCCATATTTGCGAATTGCTTTTCACGGCTTGAAGAAAAATCTATTCGTGACTTAAATAAAGAAAGTGCCACATTCATGTGGTTTCAGTTACTTGTCGAGGTACTCACACGTATGCCATTATCAAACTAAGCAAAGAATGAACTTTTGGTCGAATGTCGGCAACAGTATCACGATAATGCAGGTGAATTGGAAAAAATTGCACAATTTGATAGTGATTGTTCACCCACTAATTGTATTCGTTGGTATACACGCGACTGTTTTTTGTATCGCCTATTGAATCAAGCTTTTCGAACAGAAAACATAGATGAAATATTGAAGTTTCGATTTTTCATCCGTCAGCTAAATGAGCAACTATCCATGCTACATAAAGACTATGTTGACATGCTTCGATCCATCGAAC